ATAATAAATTAAATAATTAAATAATAAATAATTAAATTAAATAAATTTAATTATTAAAAATGCTAAATATAATAAAAATTATTAACTAACATTAAAATAACTATATTATAGAATATTTGGATCGTAACAATGGTAACACTATAGAATATCAGTACTATATTACTATAGAACTGTCACCACACTAAGTAAATACAAAGAAAGATATTTATTAGTAGTAGTGTTTCCTATTCTAGATTAATAGAATAGAAGAAGTCGCACTGTGCCGCAATCCTAAAGCAACTGGATCGAATCACTGAATTATCAAAATAGACGTTGGTTGAACACATACGTCACGAGAATACCTACCTGAGCCTGGGACTTGTGACACTAACAATATGATAGAAAATGATATACTTAATTTGGATGAGAAAAATAAAGAACCTTCATTATTTCTTATATTTATAATGAAAGCAAATAATGTATTAAAAATTCTTATCACATTTTATGAACAAACAGAAACTATATTTAGTAATAATGAGATAAAAATATTATATAAAAAGATATCAATTTTTGAAGTGATAAAAATTAAAGTGAAAAAACAGATAAGTTTAAATGCTTGGTGAGTTTAAATAATAATTTTTATATGAAAATATATTAGCAAGTTTTTTTTATTAATAAAACTTCTATATAAAAACTTTATCCAATACTATATATATAATATTTTTATAAAGAAATTTTTTTATTTATAAGAATATTTTTATATAAGAATTCAATTTTCTGGTTCAACCATGTTCTTATAAAGAAGATTAACTATATTGAATAATAATTAATTATAATTAAATATAAAAATTTTCTGATAAGCATTATAAATTGAATTTTATTATCAAATTCTTATTAAATAATTATATTTTTTTATTTATTAAACAATATTTTATATTTTATTATTTTGCGAATGATCTAACTTTTCAAAATATAATTAATTTTATTTATAAATATATTAGAATTTGCAAAAACTGTATTTTATGATACAAATTAAATTTTTCTGAAAATATATATTATAAATATCATAATAAATCACAAAATTTTCTTGGAATAAGTTGGAATATTAAATTTTATTGAATAATTTTATTATCAAGTTTTTATTAAATAATTAATTAGTTAATAATTATTCAAAATAATTATTTTAATATATATATAAATAATTATTTTATTCTAAACTTTAATTAATAATTTAATATTCAATAATTATTTATAAAAAAATTTTTATTTTAGTTTAAAATTAATTAATCAAATTTTTTAACAATTCAAAATAATAATAAAGTTTTTTTAAAAGTAAATCAAGTACAATAAAAATTGTGTAAATTATATTATAAATTCTAATATAATTTATATTATTTCTATTATACTCAATTCAAATAATTAAAATATTAACTTAATTTCTTAATTTCTTTTATTATTTTATTTTACTTAATTTTATTGAGTTTTATTTAGTTTTTTTAGTTTTTTTAAATTACGTATATTTAGTTTTGGATTTAATTTATTTTAGTTTGTTTATAATTTCTTATCTTAATTGCAAAATCATGTTTATTTAGTTTTATTTTGTTATAACTTCTTGTCTTAATTGCAGAATCATGTTAAATTGATTTAATAAATTAAATTATTAATATTTTATTTGTTTATAAATTATTTATTAAGTTATTTATTTAAAGATTTTTAATAAAAAATACTGAAAGTACAATTATATTATTTATATTCATATATAAAATATAAAAATAATAACAATTATTGTAATTATATAATATACATTTACAAAGAGAGCTCATAATAAGAAATAACATGCACTTATAAAATAAAAAATATATATTTGTCTATAAGTTTTATAATGAAACTGAATAATAATTATGCATTTAAATGTTATATTTAGAAGAGGTGTATTTAAAAAAATCTAACTATAATCAAATCTAACTTATAACAATATGATTGTAATCATTCAGTATGTTAATATATATAAATATAATATTTTGGTAGATATAATATGATTTTTTGCATTTTATATGACTTAATATTTTCAATTATATCATACCAAAATGCTCAATTGATTGGTCAGGGAATCAGAATTCAATAAATGCACTAATATACAAATAATACGTCATGGTAAACGATAACAATGAATGAACTAAATTTTTTGGAAAGAAATACTGTATATATATATATGTAAGAAGACTAAAAGCCAAGACACGATCATTTTTCTTATTTAACTGATAAATTCTCTTTTCTTTATTTTAATACCAACAAATCTATTACTCCCTTCCCTGCCGATTTTGCTCATCCTTAGTACTACTTTGATCATTCCCGCCATCACCATCATCCAACTTAACATCTTCATTCTTATCGCCATCAATACCCATATACTTTTGCAGAGCATCATTAACAATATTTTCTGCAGTAACAAAACTCTTCTCCACCAACTTCGCCAGCGAAATTCGTTCCGGAACAGAAATTTGTATTGGTCCCTCAGCCGTATAATACAATGATTGCTGATATGGATACAGTTCCACCTTGAGATTCGCGATCGACGTGGTAGCCATTGACGCACAAACTGAGAAATAGTGTTCGGGCGTTTCCTTATCAGCAGATTTTGGCGCGTCGTCTAGGACATGAGTTGGATTAACGTGTAGTGCTATTGTGCTGCTGCCAGCTTTAATTTTGTTCTCAAAGAGCATTTCAAATACGCGATGCCGTTCCGATTTTTTGGAGGGAAATGTGGGTGAGTCTATTTGTGCTATTTGGAGGAAGTAGGTGTTGTCGCCTAGCACTGGGACCTGTTTTATAGAAGATTAAATTTGGTGAAAATGCAAACATAATGCCATTTGATTCGATATGCTAGTATCCCAGAAATAAAAGTACAAACCATCAAACAACAATAGTTAATAATACTAATTACATACGTGCCATCCAATAAGCAAAAATAATCGATCTGCAAAACTCCACTCTTTACCGAATAATTCGTAACATAGCAGGCCTCTTGTACCAGATGTTAACGTACTTCTAAATGCTCTAATTTATTGAATTTAAAATATATAGTTCAAAATTATTTCTGCTGTCAACTATATATAAACGTTATTAGCCATCTGATTCTAATTCGCAATCTTTTAAATATAAATTTCCTTTTCAAAAATAAGCAGAGGATGTTTTCCAAATCACTTTTCTAATCAATGATCGTCTATTTGTTATTATAACTCATCAATTAAATCATCATCACTTTATACACATAATATTTACAAGATAAACTCACCCAACTCCCCATTTCCCCGGCCCAATACTTATAGTCGGCGCGTTAAAACAGTCAGTCTCACAATAATACTCCATATTTCGTAGACTATATCCAAGGTGATAGTTTTCTATTGTGACTGTTAGCCCGCGAGTTAATTGCTTACGTATTATTGAGACTGTTTGTAGTAACGCCGCGGTGTCTATTGACATTTTTTTATTCCAGTTATGTTGTGAAGTTTAGATGTGAAATTTCAGCGAGAAAAGATGTTGATATATATCGAATCAGGAAGTTGTGTTACTCTCCAGAGTTTGCGCCTTTAGGGTAACACTTTTAGCTTAATCGAGTTTAGCGCATTTGTGCACAAGAACTCAGCGAACACTTCAAACTGTTAAACAGTTATAAAAATTCTATTTTCAGCTACCTTATTGATCGTGAATGTTTTCTTTTTCGATTGTTCATGTGACAAATTTTTTTCTCTACAAAAAAAAGATATTTACATTGTTGTTAATTATCGTAAGAGATAACTCGTTCTCGTTTAATTGCCCAATCAAATTCAAATAACAAAAAATCATGCATCTTCTTACAATACTAATTTACCTTCCACTCTTATTATTTCAACAATACTATATAATAAAAAATCTCGCAATATTTTTAACTTGGAATCCGTCATATCCCGTAACATCGGGATACTACGTAGAGCCCATCATTAAATATCCAAATATTCTCATTTATTTGTTAGTCTATCACGCATCTTTGATTCCTACAATTCTTTTGACTTTTGAGCCGCCCAAATCATGGTTCAGGATTTTCTTGATCACACTTTCAATGACTGTGGTGCTGTTTTTACCGATAGTTTCGCATGGACAGTTTACCTGTGTTCAGGTTTCTGTAAGCGTAATGTCCGCATTGTTTTTATTCAAGTTGTTGATGTGGGCGAAAAATATTTATGCGATTAGAATTAATGAGAAGAATAAGAATTTGAATAAAAAGGAAATCGGCTCATTTTCCTCAACGCTTTTTTTCGATTTTCGAAATCCGATAGTATTACCACGTGATCACACTCGGTATCATCCAATAACATCTACCGGCCAAATTACACCACCAGTATCACTTGATTCATACGACACCACCAGTCAATTATTACTTCCAACGAAATCATTTCTTGCCAAATTTATTGTAAAGCGATTACACATTTACTTTGGAAAATGGTTACTTTATGCATCATTAGGAACATTTGTTGAGAATTTTCAACCGAAAACTTATGAGAAATTTTATATTTATCGAGTTTTGGAGGTTTTGCGAAACGTGATCTTTGGTGGTGATTATAAAGAAGATTTGGGTATCACGTTCCATGAACTGTTTTGGTATTACGCGTGTAGTGGAGTTTTGTATTTTTCAATGAATTACATGTATGAATCTTTGTTATTAAATTCAACATTTCTTCTTTACGCGTTACTTCCTGCTGATCAAAAAAATTCTACCACATCAACAACAATTAATAAAAATACGCCCACAATCAATAACACCACATCGAAACTACTGCGTTTATCACCCGAACAACAAATAAAAATCCGAGGATGGTGTACACACATGATTTTTTATTCTCCAACATTTTTCTCTAATCCAGAATTCTCGCACTCACCACGTGACCTATGGACAAACCGATGGCACCAGTGTTTCAAAGAGCAATTCAAACAACTCGCTTTTCACCCGACACGTAAGCTTACTATCAGATTCGGTGGGGGTAAAAAGCTTTCTTGGGCAATAGGTGTCATTTCTTCTTTTTTATTAAGTGGATTGATGCACGAATATGTTCTTTATGCGTTTAAAGGAAATGAAGACAAGGCTGCTGGGCATCAGTTCTTATTTTTTGTGGTGCAAGCTGTGTTGTTTGTTACTTGGGAAATGGTGGAAAGAGCAGCGATGATTCGTGGTGGTAAAAGTGAAAATGATCAGAAAGAGGAAGCTAGTCATGATGATAGTCGAGAGAAGAAACCAAGTTGGATAAAAATTATTATTTGGAATATGATTTTAATTTGTACGGTTCCGCTGTTTATCGAGCCATATAGAGGACGTACTCATTGTACGATGCATTTTTATTGTGGCACACAATGATAAATTTGATTTATAACTTAAAATATTTTTTTTTGGACAAAGATCGCGTAAAACTTGCGGTTCAATAATATGTATTTTTAATGATTACTGAAAAGAGTTATGAATACCCACCGAATAATATCAGAAAGAGAATACATTCATCCAATCGGTACACAATAGATCATCTTCATATTATCTATTCCTTCTCAACGCGTACTCTCGGCAAAATCTTCGCCGCCGTTTCTTCAGTCATTTCCCATTCATTGAATAATATGTATGGAACAACCTGGTCTTGTAAATTGTGTGTATTTTATATAAGTGATTATTTTTAATAAAGATATTACCGTTCCTCCGCACTATTGTATATTTTTATTAGAAGTTTCTTTCATATTGTAAGTAATAAGAATACATACTTTATTTAAAAGATTTTGAAAAATGCATTTGATTATAAATTATTCAACATCATCGGTTTTTTTATGTCAAAATTCCTTAATCACTGCTACCAAGTTTTTATGCACATTTTTGTCCTGCGGGGAGGGGTAGTATTTAAGAGGGTATTGCATACAGTGCGTTTGAAGGTTGGCAATTTGCATAACGATAAGTCAACTCTGACGTTCCGAAAACCAAAAAAAGACAATAAACTAGTTGAACACCAAATTCGTCTCGTATGTACAAAGAAACCTCGTCAAATGAATGGAAAGAAGCAGCCAATACACTTGGTGCGAATGCGAAGGTAATTCCTTAAGTATCAATTTACAAAGTATTGAGAGATGGGCGCTGCTCACTGTTTTTTGTTTTTGCAGTCCCGCTTACCTTTCTAATTATTTTCTATAAGCGTCAAGTTCGAGATAAAGAAGTATAAATGTTCTGGAATGATAATGGAGAGGAATTGGGAAACAAGAAAAGCTGACAAGGATTTTGAAGGCTTACAAGAAACATCGATTTCAACTCTCGGTCTCATATATATTACTTTTTGGTAACTAAGCGTGGTGAACATGTGATTCAGTCCCTCTAAATTTTCAGTGTGCAACCGATTAATGATTTATAAGGTCAGGGTAAGGACAAAGATTAGAGTTAGAGGACAAGGTTATATAAAATTGCCTCCCTAACATTTTTAATTAGTATTCCAAGACAGGTTTAAGCATCGGTTTTCTTGTAATTTTTCAAACAATCCGAAACGCGAACGAAAAAATGAAAAAATAAGAAAAACGGATGCTTAAATCTATCTTGGAGCACTATTAAAAAATGGTGGGAAAACAATTTTACGCATCTCCGATTTTATCTATGTAATAAATGATCACAGTGGCAAACAGTATCTTAATTCTCTTGAATTTAAACATGATATATATATAATTTCTGTTATGTCATACCATTGGATTTCTGTATTCCCTTTATTATGGACTAATAATAGAAGAGTTCACTTTAACGAAGTTTTTGGTTGGAACGGGACCCTTCGTGAAAGTGAACTTCACTGTGTACCACTAATGAGTCTTAAATGGTCCAATCCTGTCTTTGAAAAGACTTTTGGTCTTAAGACCTGAGACGAACTATGAACATCCCTAGTTTCATAACAAGTATAACTATGTAAGCCTGTTCTGATTGAATAGATCGGTTTTTATGAGCTAGGCTAGGCTAATTTGTATTAGTGTTATGAAGAAATTTGATTGATTGATCGATCAAATTTATAAATTTTTCTTTTCGGAAACAGAATTTTGTTATTGTTATTCAATTGGACTTTGGACGGCAACACTACATTTTATCATTTACACCAAAATTTGTGATACGTATTGATTTGACCAATCTCATTAATATAAGCTTTCTATGCTAGACTTATTCCCTTTTGGGAGAGCAACATGTATCTCTGTGTCAAAAGGCCGAATCAACGGTTAATATTCCGTGTTATGCAAGCATTGTACAATGATGAAATTTTGCATTTTTTTTTCTGGATCCATTGATCTGGAAATGGCTTTTTTGATCGTGCATAATACAGTTACCGTTACAGTTAACTTCCCAATTTTTATAATGTATCATGCTCCCTATATACTAAATTGTTTGTTTTGGCAATGAACGCTCAGAAGGTGAAACCTCTCGTGGAAAATAAAAAGCGAATAATTTAAAACCACCGAGTATTTAATGCAGGAATTGCTTGTCATTGCCAGATATGTTAATGTCTATGATTAAAAAGATGCTATAACCAGGTGAAAACTTGGCAAAACGGCGTCGTCCGTCGAATCGTAACTCGCTTTTTGATGATAATATTCCGGTGTTGGTAATTATGGTGGTTTTTAGTGATACAATTCACTACATTACTCGTTTTAGTAACGTTATAACGTTACCGATAATATCCGAACCGTACCTTAATGCGCTAATACTGACTAGTTTACCCCATAGTAATAACGATAAGAATTTTCGAGTCTTTGAATTGTTTCATTTTGCGGAAAAAATAATTGGTTAGGAGAGGAGTATTATATATTACGATAAACGTTCTAAATTCTATTGAATTTTTCCAATATCGATATTTTCTTATTGTTATGTTTTTGGTTAATAAAAAATTCGCGTTTCACAGCATATTTATAAGACTTTATATTGCATCAAATTAAACAATATGCATGCAGATTCAAAAAATTTCGGTTGTGCTCATTGTAACAGTGAATCGAAATCTTACCCGAAGTGATTGTTTTTAATAAGCATGCTTATCAAGGCTGATCGCGAGTGAATTGAACTTGCAAACGGGAAGAAAAGAAAAAAAGTTGCTAAATTAACAAACTTACTACTAGAACATAACAAGTACTTATAAATACTAATATAGTATTCACGAAGTGTTTTTGTCGCATTACATTGCATCCAAAAAAGCAATCGTTGCACGCATCTCCCTAGATTAGGATATTCAATTAGCATAATTGCACCGCGTCAATTCCTTGCCCGTACACACGGACACACGCATATATACATATATATATATATATATATAATCGCTTTTGCATTTTTTCCCATTCTCCATCTCTTGTCGCTCGCTCGCTGTTGTTTGATTTGTGCGGCCTTTAAAAAAAACGAGAGGAGAAAAAAAGTAGATATTTCCAATATATCAATATAAAAAATAGAAAAAATAGAAAAAATCATACGGACACGTCTTAAAATTAGTCAAAATGATGCAATTTGTCGACCAAACACTTGACGTATTTCGAAAATATCGAAAAACTGAGCCACCTTATTTAGTCGCCCTTCGGTGCTGTACCATTACGATATGTGTTCTCTTGATTATAATCTATGGAATTTTCTTGCTATTATTTTTGATTAATGATGACCCAGTCGAACGAAGCGTTGTGGTTCCCGCACCCACTATTCCAGCAGCAGGTTTTTTCTATTTGAAACTACTATTGTTATTTTTACTATTTATGGCTTAATGCTGCTCAATAGTACGCGTTCTACCTACTGAAATTTGAGCCCTTTTTTTTGGTTATTATATTTCCAGACTTGAGAGTGGAATGGAATTATCAGTTCTCTATTACTTGTGAATATATGTATTTAAGTATGGATTACTACTATTATTCTTAGTACTGTTTGTTTTGAGTCATTACTTTCCAAAAACTCAAATTCACCCTCCACCCTTCCCCCTTCCCATTCAAATTTTTTTTTATTACAATTACCATTTTCAAGATGGCACTCGTAGCGAGCAAGACCTTTGTACTTCACTAATCATTCCGCCGAAATGCTGCTGTGACGCAAACAATAGTACCGATCACTTTACTGGGTACTTCACCGCCTGGAAAAATGGGCCTAACGGCGACAGCAGCTACACATTAAACTATGATTTGACAAGTGAGCTATACGGGGTGTGGTACACAATTCGCAAAGCAGACTCAAGTTATAATCCTCAACGTGATCAAGGAATGATTGTACGAGCTTTTGATTCAGGTATGAAAGAAGAGATTTAGTTATTTGCTTTTGCTTGTTTGTTTATATGTAAAATCCTATTGACGAATATCTTTGTTGTTGATTAAATAAATATTTTTTTATTAGAATTCAATCCACAAACGTTGCCAAATTACCCAAATGACACATCTCAAAATATCGACAGTGATTTTTATAACTCAATTGACGAGTTAAATCACCATGTTATTGGATATCGTCAGGTAGGTACCTTTAATTATCAAATCATTTTTCCTACCTGCTAGCATATCAATTTTCTTATTTTTTGCCGGACTTTTGAAATGGATAGAATAATTGGATGTTTGTCAATCGTCATCTAAAAAAGAAATTACGTCCCGGTGCAGGAAATGTGATTGGTATCCCACCAAGACATTTCAACGAATATTACCTTACTACTGAATATGGTTTGTTGCGTGATATTTTTCACATTTTTGGTTTGATTAAATATTGATATTGACGAGAAAAAATCATCATCTAGAAAGTGTAAATAACCCTGCGAATGCACAAAACCTCAATCAAGATAATGATGTTTACGCTAATTTATTTGTTGGAACTTTGAATTGGTATGAGGAGGAGATAACTGAAAGAAGGTAAATCGATTGTTATTTTATATAGATGTGGTTCTATCATTCGGTTTATTTTTGTTTTATTTGGTTGAATGATTATTGATCGTGTTTCGCTTTTTTCATCGATTTCTTGATCTTCGTAGGAGTCGTTCGGTGAGTAGATGATCAAAAATTTTTATATACTTTATATAATTCATGAGATTTCTAATATTTCTTTATGATATTTATATAGCTTTTGGACTGTTTTGGTTTACTTGCCGGTTTCTATGCACTTATAGCTGGAATATACATCTGTTGCTTCGGTAAATATATCTTTCAAATTATTAATCCTCAGCAATCCAAAAAAAAAATAACACATCAAATTGTTAATTACACAAAACAGGCGCAGCCGCTATCCTACCATGGGGCTGCTGTCAAATAATTTTCTTGAGAAAACAAATCCGTGACGATCTTCGTAATGAATATCCAAACGGCATTCCACTTATTGACACGCCGAATCCAGAGGTCAGTTGTAAAGAACGACTCAACTACCTCGAGAAATTCATGAGACAATATGTGATCGATGTAGATTACTTGAGAGACTACGAGTCGGACGACGATGATGATGAAAATGAAAAAATAGGTGCGACAATTGATGCAGCTGGAGGAAGTGGTCCTTCTGCAGGATCAGTTTTACCTATTTTTTCGGGAAGACGTAAACGAAAAAATAGTAGTCCTAATGATGGAGGACCTAATTCTAATAATAATGTTAATACTCCGGGGTCACCATCCGATAATTCGTATACTACTGTTCCACCTTCCGGTCCTGAACATGAAGTTGGAGGTCCAGGTTACACTACGGTTCCAGCACGTCATCAACCGTCAACTGGAGCTGGACAATCTAATTTACCATCAAGTCAACATGATGCCGTTACAGCAGCTGCTGTGGGTGCTGCAGCAACTCGAAAACAAACTGGCAACAATAATAACAATAACAACAATAATAATAATTATAGTAATAACAATATTAATAGTAATAATAACAATGGATCAGGCAGCGGATACGGAACGTCTGGTAATAACAATAGCTCGAATAAATTTTCAGCAATTGGTGCTGGTGCAGCAGCAGGAATACTTGCAGGTGCAGCATTTGGATCTCATGACTCAAAGAAAACTACTACTGGAGGAGGAAGTACTACGGAGCATGAACCTGCTACTGCCACTACAACCTCAAGCAGCGGATACGGCAGTGGATACGGAACGTCTGGTGATAACAATAACTCGAATAAATTTTCAGCAATTGATGCTAGTGCAACAGGAGTTGGAGGTGCAGCACTTGGATCTCATGACTCAAAGAAAACTATTACTGGGGGAGGAACTACGGAGCATGAATCTACTACTACCACCACAACTTCAAGCAATAACAATAAACTGACAGCAATTGGTGCGGGAATAATTGGTGGTGTAGCAGGAATATTTGGAAGTAAATTTGCATCTCATGACTCAAAGAAAACTACAACTGGAGGAGAAGGTGCTACGGAACATGAATCTACTACTACCACAACTACTACTTCAAGCGGTGGATCAACTGTTATTGGAAGTGGTGGTGCATATGATTCGAACACATATAAATCAAGTGCTTCAGGTGGGGCGGCTGTAATTGGTGGAGGTGGTGCTAGCGGTTATGATTCAAACATGGCATACATAGCAGGTGCTTCAGGTGGATCGAGTGCAATTGGAGGGGGAAGTGAATCTATTTACTCATCCACCACTACTACTGGTGGCGGTCCAACTGAAATTGGTGGTGAATCGAATAAATCGTCAAGCACTTCTTATGGAGGATTGGCAATCGCTGGAGCGGCAGCGGCAGCAGGAGCAATCGGTGGTGCTGCTATAGCTTCTAAAAGTTCAAAATCCTCGTCTGGCACAGCAGGAGCAACAACATTAAGTGGAGGTGGTGGGTCTGTACATGAAACCACCACATACACAACATCATCTGGTACGACTGGAGGTGAAGTAGGAGGAACCTACACCACATCATCATCATCCAGTGCTACCTCGCAAGCCAGTCAAGTCGCTCTCTTAGCGTCGATGAGTGAACAAGAACGAATTAAATACTTGGCAACTTTATCATTAACAGAAAGACGAGAATTAGAAGCCTTGCTCAAAAAAAACACTACCACAAAGCGTACAATTATTGAAGGAGGAGGTTACACAACAACAACGTCATCATCCAGTGCTACCTCGCAAGCCAGTCAAGTCGCTCTCTTAGCGTCGATGAGTGAACAAGAACGAATTAAATA